ACGGATTGCGCCGGCCGCTGGATGAAGGAAATACGGTGTCCCTCCTGGGAGAGCCAGTGTTGTGAGGGCAATCGCGCATGCCCACCTGTAGGGTGTCGAGCTAGCTCGAACATACCGCCTGAGCGCTTGCTGGTCCGTGATGCGTCGGATGTCAGAATCGATCGCACTTTGCCATGTGTGCACCGGCGCCTCAGTTCAAAGGCCTCGACGTTTGGAACAACGTGTACCAGTTTGAGCTATGCGAACTCCTGTCGCCGCCTGGGCGGTATGTTTTGTAGTGCGAGTGACTCTACGCACAGCACTCGATTGCGTACTCGAAGTTCCCGAGCTACTTTTTGGCTTTCGGCATGTACGATCGAGAGCTCGAGTGTTTCTGGAGCGTGAGAAAGCTCGAAGAAGCGCTGGCCGACACGTCGATGCACATGGTGTCAATGAGGCTTTCATAAGGACGGCAGTATTGAGTAAGGCAATCGATAAAACTACAATAATCCACGTTTGTTTCACACTACCTGAGCTCATGGCTCATTACGTTCGGACGCCATGGTGGGCAAGGCTTTCATGAACGACTTCCTGCTCGCTTCTTCGTTTATCGATTCCCACGCCGTGATGGTACGTTCGATCATTTTCACTCGATTTTCTGCAGCAGATATCACGGGCACTTCACGCAGCCATAAGGCACGCATCTTTGCCTTCAGAGGGCCAATCACCCCAACATCAAGTGGTAGACTAACACTCGTCGTGTTTACTGGCAGGGGCTCCAGAAACGAGTACACCTCGTCGTCCACGACCCGTCGTGCTGGGATGGAGACGTGGGCCGACAAGTTATCCACCAGCAGCGTCTTTGGGCCGACAAGCTCGAATTTAAGAAGCTCCCTCAGGTAGAAGAGCCACACGTCTTCGTCCATCCATGCTGTTTCTTTAACGGCATAGACGTGATCCGTGAGATAGGTAGACAACTCGTCGATTTCAATTTGACCACCGACCACCCCACGCACAATAAAAAGGATTGGCAGTTTCGTTCCTACATAACTAATTATATCAAGTTTACAATACTTACCACAAACCATCAGCACATACGGCCAACACCGCCGTCATACAGTCGGAATGCTTTTCTGAGGAGTCACTTATAGAGTCGGCGCCAAACTCACACCAAGTACGGCGTGGTGGCATGTCGTAATACACTGCCTTCTCGTCGACATTAATGATGTCGCGCAATGGGACGTTGTTGTGCTTGGACCTAAATGTTGAGGCAAACATTTCCTTTTTCTCAGACAGCTCGGCTTGCTTCAATTTGGAGAAGCAAGGAATTCGCTGAGCAAATCCATGACGGTGAGCAAAGCGTTGGCACAAGCCGAGGAGTCCAGCGTAGCCAGTGCCTGCTGACGCCTTCTCGCCTAAATACTGGTCGACCAAGGTTCGTGGGTCTTAATCCACGTGACCATGTGGGCCGTGGTGTGGTGGTGGCCCTCATCTCGTACAGATCGCATGAAATGTACCAAGTCGTCAGTAAATTTCATTACGACGGGTCTCCTTGGCCTCCAAGGGTGGAGTGTTGCTTATTGCGCTGAGATGACATGTAGCAATCATTTTTACTGAGCCACGTCAGCCATGTTGAACGAGGTATCCCTTCTAAAGCGCAAATAGAACTCACAGAAAGCGTCGAGTTCTCATAAGCAATCATCAGCTTTATGCGAGTGTCGATCCTATATCGCCGCTGGACGCGCTGCGGGAGGACTGGTGTTGGCATCAAAGCTCAAACTGCGAAGGATTTTCGAATCGACCAATCACATTGCGTGAAAATTCAATGGTATTTTCGAATCACTGCGTGAAAAGTAGTTGTGACTATTCGCCGAAACGGCATTGCTCATCATATGCTCAATTTTATTCGAGAACAACGTTGTCGAGTTTTTATCAAGTCGACTGAACGACGGAAATCGTTTCCTCGTGGTACTTGGGTAAAATGTTGATATTTGTATAAGGCAATAATAATTCGACGTTGGGTTTTGCTGGAAATTATATTACATTGCACTTTTCAGCTTATAAGGACTGCGTTGTTATTGGTCAAAATTTTGGAATTTCGACGTCAATGAGTGCTCGCGACCAACTTGTTGCGACCAAGTTAAAAGGA